AATAGAATCTAGTCGTCAAGTTCTGTCATAAACAAACAACTGCCTCTGTGTCCTCAGAGCTTTACTGAGTCCCTAACTGAACTGGCTTTTGGGTTGGACAGGTGGATTCCTGGTCACTAATGCACATTAAAAGTACAGCTTTAGGTACTTCCTTTAGGAGCAGAGAAACATTTATCTCATATTTTATCTAGCATATGACAGCTTTTGTATATTCTACATAAAAATCTGGTGATATTTATTCCCTGAAAACTATCCCCTGAAAATGGCTAAAAATATGTTGATGTTTCTCCAATGCATAAAATTTTTCAAATATCCAAAAGTATTGAATAGAACAAGGTGTTAACATCCTTATACTCACTACCTAAATAATTATTTTGTCTTATTTCTAAAATCTACATATGTACATACATAATCATTCATCTATATGTTACATATAAGTATGAGAATATGTATATGTAATAGAATCTTTGTATAGTTTTTTTTTTTGCTGAACCAGTTGAAATTAATTTGTGGCACCTTCTAAGAATAATTTATATAAATTCCATGTATGTGACTGAGATGGGCACATGTTCACATATACTAATCAAGCATCTTGAATTCTTATCTCAGGCTTTTTTGTAGTCTTAGGAGAGGCCCCTGATATTGGGAGGCCCTGGGCAGCCACCAAATCCATTTAATGATGGAGCCACTTTTGTGCATTTGAATCCTTACTGGGCCACTATTAGCTCTGTGGCCTGGGGCAAGTGGCTTATGGGCTCTGATGGTGATAGTGGCGATGGTGATAATGATGATAATAATAAGAGCAACAAATTCTTAGTGGTTCTTACTGTGTGCCAGGATTTACCATCCAAAATCCTTTCCCTACATGTTACTCATTTCATCCCACAATCATCATGGCCCTGTACTTGGTTGACTGAGCTACGCTGAAGCTGTACTTCCCAGATTCTCCTTCCCTGCAGGACTGGTTAGGGTTGGCATGTGAGGTGGGAGGTTGCAGCTGGGCCATGGCTGATCTGCTGGCTCACTTTGTTGGCACAAAGGCTACTCCCTGGGCCCGCAGCTCCTCCAGCTCTCACTGGATCTCTGATTTCAGCTTTTTCTGGTCCTGGGCTGGTACATTTTAGGGCCACAGCAAAGGGTGCCAGCTTCTCCGTGGGTTACCATATCACTGAAGTTGAGGCAGTGAGAAACAAACATGTCAGCCTTTTCTCCTGACAGCCCAGCTGATCTGGGGAGGTCTCAGGCCCCGCACCACGTGTAATCTTCTCTGCCATCTCCCCCTAATGATGGGAAGGAACCTGCAATGTGAAGATCTTGGAGGAGATCATTCCAGGGAGAGAGAACAGCCGGTGCAGAGGTCCTGAGGCAGGAATGAGTGTGCTGCATCTGAGGAGCAGACAGCAGGCCAATGTGGAAGCAGCGTAGTGAGCAAGCGAGGAGAGAAGTGAGATAAAGCCAGACAGGTAAGCAGCAACCAGCTGATTAAAGCCTTAGGGCTTGGTAAGATCTGGAAGAGACTGCAATGGCCATGGGAAGTCCTTGGAGAGTCTTCATCTTGAAAGAAACATGATCTGATGTATCTTTTATGATAATGCACACAAACACATGCACACAAATGGTCTAGATCTGCAGTGTGCAAGATGAAGTGTAATAAAACAAAGCTCACATCAATGTTTGCTCTATTCTTTCCATCCACCGTCACCTTCTGCACCTCCTAGTGCAGAAAATCGCGTGCTTCACCTCACAAACAGCAAGTCTTTCTCTGCTTCCTGAAAAAACAAGTCTCACCCTTGTGCACTGCTGGTGGGAATGTAAAATGGTACAGCTTTTAGGGAAAACAGTACGGCAGTTCCTCTCTTCAAAAAATTAACTACAACTACTTGAAGAGGTATCTGTACACCCACGCTCACAGCAGCATTAGTCAAGATAGCCGAAAGGTGGAGGCAACTCAGGCGTCAACTGATGAATGAATGCTAAGCAAAATGGACCGTATTCGTGTAACAGAATATTATACACCCTTAAAATGGAAGGAAGTTCTGACACATGCCACGATATTTGCCCTCCACTTCAAATCCCTTCCGTATCTAATCATTTTTTGTTAATCTTATTGCATGGTATACATCTTTGTTAACCTCCTTAAATCCTTTTCTTTTTAAATGTGAGATCTACTTATAAATACAAAAAAATATAACACAGCCATTATTCCCAATATTTTTTTGACTAGATACTTCTCCTCCCTCTTCCTTCCATATAATACAGAGTAATTAACATGTTCATTTAGGGGAAGGAAGTCCTGGGGCAGGGAGGAAGGGCCTTTTCTCTTCTTTCTGTCTCTGTCCTGTTTTTCACCTGTGTGCTTACACAAATGTTCAATTTGTGAAATCCATTAAGCTGTATATTTATGACATGCACTTTTCTGTATGTGTATAATTTATAGTATTTTTCAATAAAAAGTAAACAAAAACACACAAAGAGTCTACTACGTTTAAAATATGATGTCAGTTTGGTTCTATGGGAAGTGGGAAGAGTCATAAAAGTTCTTGATTCCATGAAGCTGTGTGTCCAGATTTCCACAGTGCATTTTCCAGTGGGATCTCCGGCAACTCCTAATGCCAGTAACTCACCATCCGCCTCCCTGCCTTTCCTCTCGAATCGGGCAATGCCAAGAAGGAAGGGGGGGTAAGTTTCAGGAAGGGGACAGCTTTCTATCCATCTTATCAGATTTTGGTAAAAAACATTTCCAAATTCTTATAAGGGGCTGAGTAGCTCCCAGAAAAAAACATCTCAGCTTTTCTCCTCCAGAGGAATTAAAATGGGAGGAGGAGGTCCCTGAAACATAGAATGTTAAGTCAATGGAGCAGGATGAGGAAGTAAAACGCAATCTATATTTAAGAAAGCAACTAAAAACTACCTAGCCAAGATTCTCTTCAATGTGTAAGTTCATCCAACTGAACAAAAAAAAAATTTATCTTAAAAGTTATAGTTGAAAATGGCACTTACAGAACATATACTGCTAAAGAGAATGTGCATATAAAGATGTACTCTCAACTGCCCCTCCTCCCATGACTTAACTATCTTAATTTTGCTAAGGAATAAAATATAAATTTTTACATTGGAAAGTAACTTAAGGAGGCGTGCAGGTACAGATCTCATACTAGTGCAGAAGGCTGCTCTCCGCAGTGATGCAGTTGAACAGGAACCTCTTCAAATGGCTGTTACCAAGAATTCTAAGGCGGTAATTTGTCATTTCTGTCCACATTAATTTAATTCCTCTACATATTACTGTTTTGAACAAAGGCCTGAATTCCTGAGTCCCAAGATAGAAATCTTTTTTCTACTCTTTCACACTTTGATGCTCCAACTTCAAAAGCTAGTACCTGTATAGATTTTATAACCATTTAAATGTATGGATCTTCTTTGAAATATTCTTTCCATGGTTCCTTTGAGCAGAACTCAGGCCAAGCTTTCATGCTGTGTTCTTTCACTTATATCACTAGAGGGATCCAGAGGGAAAAAAGTACTCTAATTACTGCAAAAAGGAAGAAGTCACTTCAGAAACAGTCATATTCATTTTGGTCTTTTAGTATAAACAAAATTCTTTGCATTTCATTAACTTTTACTTGGTGCAACTGTATTATATTTTGCATAAAGAATTGGCAGTCTTCAAACACAAAATTTTTCTCACATTTCGAAAGGGATTATTGAGCAAATGCTAGCAGTTTACTGAATAATAAAGCAACATTACTTAGTTCCCTGTCTGCACAGTTTAAAAGGAAATCTGAAAATTATCTAATTCTGATAGATAGTAAGTATCTCAAGGTGACCTTTCTGACTTGAGAACCACGGCCTGGTTGCAGTTTGAACCAGTTATCTTACATGTGCCAAATTCTCATTTTGTTTCCTGATATGTGGATTACAGTTCCAGTGTTTAAAGCCAAAACCAACAAAAACTATGAAACTTTACCTGTGATTCAAGTAACCACAATCCATACCTCTACCAGCAACATCCCCCAATTTGCTATCAACTTTGTCTTTTCAGATAGCCAAATGTGAAAACTGAGACATCAGAGGTGGAGGCTTTTCAGAAGAATAAAGCCCTATGTACCTGGAACGGATTTACCTGTTACTTCAAGAAAGCCTGGGTCTGGAAGCATTTCTCAGGTAAGACCAGGTGTAGGACATTCTGTAATCTACATGCTGAATTTTGAATTCTAGTGTATAAGTAATCATCTCTAATGAGTTTGGGACAATCATCAGAAGGATGAGAGGAGAAAGGGGGCTGGGATGAAGCCAAGGTGTTCACCAGGGAAGGACGAGGGCAGCCTACTGTGCTTCACATGTATTCACTCACTCCTTCCCAAGCTTGGTGAAACCAGAAGCTCTCAAGGCATCACTTACTCCTTAAAATGTTTAAGGGGAAGTCATTTTTCAAGTCATCAAAGAATTTTAACAACCTACTGCCCCGCAGTAAAGGGTGGAATAGTAGAAGGCAGGGAGGCACCAGAGGGAAGAGAACAGATATCTTCTCTACCGAATGTCAACATATTATATTTTACAATTTTCAGATAGGTGGGTTTTCCTGAAGTTCCTCTGTGGGAGTGAAGAATGCATTGGTAAAACCACCCTGAGTACCGAGGGAGCAGATTCAGGAATCTTTAAGAACTAGCTCCCTAGGTTATAAGCTCATGTGAAATCCCCAGGAATCCTGGATGTCTTGTGGATGCTCACAGGGGGACAGCAGAGGCACCTGGAAGAATTGGGAGCGTGTTTGCTTAGGCATGTGGTCCTGATGGCAAAATGGGAAGAGCCTTTAATGTCTCCTCTGTCGCTTAAATCCAGTATGGCCACCTTGACTACAGAGGTCACACATCTCTCCTTCTCTCAAACTCATCTCTCTGTGACAGGTATGATGGTTTCTGGCAGAGTTACCCATTTGTTTCTCTGTCCTGCAAACAGAGAGGGAGACAGACAGACAGACAGACAGACAGATGTGCCCATACCTGCAGAAGGATCTTGTTCCCGTCGTGGTCCTCCGTCTGCCAGCGCCCCTCACTGATGGGGCTGCAGGGGTTGGGCAGGAGGGGCACGAGCTCGCCGATGTCCCTTACTCGGAACTCCAGCACGGAGGAGTCGGTGGGGATCGGGCTCTGGTCACAGGGCAGTCTTTTCAGGGAGAACTGGATGTCCACGTCCAGATTAGAGAAAACGGGGAAGATGCAGAAGTCCGTTTTCCTCTGGCTGGGGGTCCGCCGGAGAATCAGCTCGTAGAACCGCTGGCTGTCGGCGTAGTTGTCGTGGCTGCAGTAGATGGTGAAGCGCACGATCTCCTTGCCGTAGTGCACGGGCCGGATGGCCCACAGCGGCGTCCCGGGGGCCAGCGTGAAGAAGTCCTGGCTGCAGGGCAGGTAGGGCAGGAAGCGGCCCTGCACGCGCTCGGTGTGGTGGTGGCGCCAGGGCGGCCGCTGCAGCGTGCGGTGCAGCTGCAGGATCTGCTCCTCGCCATACTCCTCCTGCAAGAACAGCACCACCGCCAGCGCCGGCTGCGCGCCCTTGGGGGCCTTCCGCCGCCGTCGGCAGGCGCGCCTCTCCGACACCCGGAACAGCGGCAGGTCCGGGTGGATCCACGCCAGGACCTTGTCGATGGCCTCCTGCAGGGGTTGGGACTCGCCTGGGTCTGCGATTATGTGGATGCTGACCAGGAATGGGTCCTGCGCCTCTTCCACGGAAAGCTCACCTGGGAGCACATAAAAAATGAATGAATGAATAAATAAATAAAATATGATTATTTCATTAAGGTGTCAGATGGTGACATGTCTGGCCTTGGCAGGAAGAGAAGCCAAATTCTAACTGAGCCGACTCCATAATCTATGATTTTCTGATCCCAAATTAACGTGTAAAAACCACTAGGGAAGCACCCTAGCAGCCAAAGACGAAAGGCCTATGGCTACCAATGATTCCCAAGCTGGACAGTGTTAAGAAAACCTTGGTCCTATATTTCACCAGGCTGAGCGGCATAAGGAACATCTGACTTTCTATTCGTCTGTTAGACAACAGAAAGTCAAGTCTCGTAATTTAGAAGGGACAGCAGGCCCATTAGAGATCTTGTAACATCACATGCACACTATTTAGTATTTCCTGAAATAACTGCAGTGCCTCACCCCATAAATGTTCCCTTTACCAGTGCACTCCTCCAGTTTGCTTATTTCATCAGTTTATTTTGTTCATTCATTTAATAGACACTTACGGGCCCCTCCCTATATGCCTGGTGCTGAGCGAGGCACTGGGCATACAGCCCAGGATAAGAGAGAAATGCTTGCCCCCTGGAGAAGAGCCATAATTGGCAAGTCAAGCCCTGGCTCGTGAGGTGTCCTGCGACATGTCCCCTGTGGGTGGGGCGGAGGGAGGGGCATGGTCATGATCATCTTGTTGCTACAGATGTGGGCAAGGACAACCTGGCTGCAAGCACAGTGTTCTTGCTGTTGGGGCTTAACTGGGGCTGATGTTCGGGGTGGAAGGGAAGCAAAGTGAGACCAGGACTGCCCATGTAAGGCTGCCCTTTGGGCCTCTTGCTAGGCCACATCCACCCAGAAACTCACATATTCTGAATGTGGGTTACCTTCCCTAAGTCCTCTAGCAGAACACCCAAAAGTGTGAAGTTGACTGTTTAACTTGGCAACACTTTCCCAGGGAGTGACACTGTTTGCTGGCCACACTGGCATATTTCTAACTCACATAACCATACCTTATTCTTTTAAAAGATCGTTCTATTTGCATTTATATAAGTTTTAGGACTAACGTAACAGGAACCAAGACATCCTTAGGCCAACTGTGACTTAGAGGGCTAGATTCATCTAGAATCTAGACCTGTGTTCACACACATGCCTCAGTGTCCACTAGGGGTGTCAGGCATAGAGTGATCACATGATCAATGGCATTCGAGAAGTGCGGTGTGCTTTTAGGAACCACAACCTCAATCAAGTCAAAGATGAAAGGTAATTTTTTTGAGGTAGGTAAATGAGACATTCCCAGTGGGTACACAGGTCTATTTTGCCATGTGTACCTGCAATAACATGGTTTTACTTTCATCAGATCAAAACCTGCCTGAATTTTCATCCCAACTCTGATATCGCACTTCAAAATAGTTCCATTTGTTGTTATCTTCTCTCTCATTCACTCATTCATTCACACATTTGTTGAGCAATTGATTTGTAACAGGCACTGGGAAAACAAGGAAGCTGGTACCACCAAGTACTATGGGAATATGTTTACATACTCTGGCATGACAGCGTACCCTTTAGAGTTATGCAGTGTACAACCTGCACAACCATAGACAGCAGCCCTCTAAAGAACCATAAGCCACATTTGAAAACTTCATGACTTAGTTGGGAAACATGGGCATGAAAAATTAAAATTCAATCTGATATATGCCTATAAGGAACACAACAGAATAGTATCTTGGGGTAGGGGTTAGATTCTAAAGTCACTATGAGGTAAAGATTACCTACAGACAATATTACCACTGAAAGTCCACTGAATTTTCCATAAAGTACTAGGTGGTATTGATTTGCAACACGACAAGACGGCCAGATAGATGTTTCTTTGGTTGAACACCAGATGAAATAACTGGCTTGCTGCAGGGCAGTGTATAAAAGAATAGTCCATTTCTTTAAACATTAGACTCCCACTCATCAAGGGGAGTCCTTACTCTACAATGGGTTTCTGGGAGCCTGAGAGGCTTCTGGAACCCAAGGATGACTAAGATAAGAGCAGAGTCAAGTTTCAGTTCTCCAGCAATCATGGAGCAGAATGGCAGGTGGAATTATTTACACTGTCCTCCCTTTCTCCTTTCTTCCCTCTGGCTGAGCATGCATCCCCAAATTTGTGTGAGTTGCATATGAGCATAACCCAACTCCGACTTCCTACCACATGACAAATGAAGGAGCAACTCTTTCTCCTGAGGGTTTCTGAGAAGGCTTCCTGGAAGTCTGGAATGGTAAATGGCATCTCGCACTTATGATACTCTTAAGTGTGGAGGAGATCACTGCAGGAAGAGGAATACTGTTTATGACAGCAAAGACAGAACTGTGCAAAAACAAGCACATTTGAAAGGAGGCAGTGAATAATTCTGAAATATGGCAAGAGATACAGCCAGAAAAATGGACTGGAGCCAAGTTGTATGGGGCCTCAGCTCAATTCAGTAGTTGATAAGGAGCAAAGGAAGGCTTTAACAAAGGAACATCAGGATCAACTCAGGGGAAGCTGACTACAAGCACAGTAAAAAGTTAGAAGACTAGTGAAGGGTGGACAGGATATAACAAGGGTTTGGCAGGGTATGAGATTACATTAGTGGCTCTAGCTCTTTATCCTACTCTGTATCCTCACTCTCTGTCATATGACTTTGTAGTTCTTCCCACAAAATGGGTGAAGTGTATTTCCTCATCTTTGATTTTGGATTGGACCATATGCCTAGCTTTGGCCAGTAGAAGAGACAGCTGTGACATGTGTTTTGGCTTCCATCCTTGTGCTTCTGACATTCCCATGAGGAGAACGTGCTGGGGCTAGCCCACTGGTCCAAGGAAGGGGATGAGAGAGACATGGAGCAGCACCGCCCTGGCTAGTCCTAGTCTAGATCAGCCAACCCTCAAACACCCAAGGACACATGGTAAGAACCACTCAGGTGAGTGTGGTCTAGATCAGCTGACCCACATGGGAAATAATACATGACTGTTGTTTCAAGCCACTGAGCCTGGGGTGCTTGTTACACAGCAGTACTTACAGATACAAACAGTCAATGGGCAAACAGAAGAGGCATGGGTTCATAGGCTCTTTAGGAGGCACATGTGATGACGGGGCTTGGAGCCCAGAGGCCTGGTGGGTGGGGCATAGGAAAAGTAGGAGAGGAGTGTACCTTGATGTTTCAAGCTTGAACAACTGGTCTGATGTGGTATTTACCTGACATAGACAGTGGAGGAAGAAAGGCAGGTTTGTGGGGAAAGATAAGGAGTTCCACTTTGGCCTTGGCTTGAGATACTCAAATGACTTCCAAGAGAGACGTCCTTTGGCAATAGGATTTTTGGTTGCTAAGGTAAAGGACTGAATTTAAGGATGGATGAGTTACTTTCCCACCATATCCTTGCTTTTATGCAGTTATCTCATAAGTATATGCCCCCACATTGATCTAAATCATGAAAACTCACCATGATGGCTTAGAAAACAATTGAAACTCAGGGATTATTCTGGCCCTTTTCTTTGCTCTTTCCACCTGCCTGGCTCTTTCCATTTTGTTGGACATTAACACCGTAATCAGCAGAAGTGCAGTTGAAGCAAAAGTGGTGATAATGAAAACCAATGAAATTTTCCACCAGTCAGTAACTTCAGTAAAGGTCAGAGAAGATACCACAATCACCTAAAATGGAGATTTCACTTTTCCATAGTGCCCTGAACTCCCAACAGTAGAGACAAGTGACTTTGCTAAACATTAACAAATGCTCAATATAAATGGAAAAGGATAGGAAAGCTTTGAACAATCTGGGAATAAAGAAATTTGCCCAAGAAAATTACAGATGATTTCTGTGAGGGAAAAACAGACATGCAGAGTAAAAGGAGTGTTTTGGAAAAGAAGTTGTTGAAAGAAGTTGTCGGAGCAATCAGGTTCCTTTAAAGATCCTGACCCCACCGACCAGGTACACAGGTGACATGTTACATGCATGCCTTCTTGGCATTCTACAGGTATGAACTTATTTAATCCTCACCACAACCGGAAGGGGGTGCTATAATTGTCCCCATTTTAGACAGCAGGAAATCGAGGCACAGAGAGGCGAAGTAGCCAGCCAAGAGACACAGAGTACGGGCACTAACTCCAGCATGTAAGGTCTGTGTGCCCACTCCGCCCAGGGCTCTGCAGAGATGCGCCGTGCCAGTCTCACAGCAGCACGGCCAGCTGCCATCCTCCATCCATGTGGCCACGTGCTCTGCTGTGCCCCCTGCACTGCCCTCCCACCTCTTTCTGACTGGCTGCCTTCCCAGCCACCAGTCAATAGCTTCACGTCTTGGACACTCACTTACATCTCTTTCCTCTGCCCTGGGTCTCGGAGGAAGAATAAGCCAGAAACTGCCTCCCTCTTGGCACATGCTCAGCTCTTTACATCTCAGCATTGCCCTCGAGGGCAACTTGAACAGGCCAGCACCACAGGTGGGTGCACTAGTGAAAGAAAAGCAAAACAGTGACCCAAGAAAGCTCACAGCCAGACCCGAGAGGCCTGGGTGTGAACAGGGCCAGGGGAAGGTAGCTTCTGAGCCCCCCAGCGGAGCTGTTGGGGAGATTCAGCCCTGTGCCACCTCTATCAGTCACACAAAGGTTTCCCTGAGAGCAGGAACAAAGGCCACGCTGCAGGGAAGCCTGCATGGATGAGTGAATGTTTACAGCTCTGCAGAAGGGCAAGATGCCCAGCCTTGGAGCAAGGGGGTGGGCTGAAAGGCACTCGACCAACCACCAGCTCGCCTGGCAGCTCAGGAGCAGCCAAAAGCAAGCGAGCGAGGAAGACGAAGACCCCAGCGCTCCCTCTGTGCTGCATGAACCACAGAGACGGAAGTGGCTAAAATCCTGCCCCAGAGGAGCTGAGGAGAATGAGCAATGACATTAGTATGCTCTAGCCATTGCTAGCATATGCCCGCCGCATGTGACCTACAAAACACAGGCTCAAAGAACCACAGAATGCAGCTCCACACTGTCAC